CATATATCATCTAGCAAACTGCAAATTGAAACAATAATGAGGTAGCATGTCACCGTGATTAAAGCTGCTAAGTTCTTTTCAAAAAGACAATGGCAATTACTGAAGGATAAGGGATAACTGAAACTCTCTTCATTGCTTGTACGATATATATGGCCACTTTGGAAGACCATTCAGCATTTGTTTCTAACAAAAATGAGTCTAGCCTTATGAATTAACACCTGTAATTTGTATTTAGACAACTGCTTTGAAATTTTGTATCCAAACAAACATAAAGCATATAATTATGCATAGCAGCTCAATTCATCCCACTCAAAGCTTAAAGTAATCAGAATAACCCTCATGGCCTAATATAGAACCAAATTAAGTAACATCCATGTAGTGGAATATATTCAGCAATATGAAAAAACCATCGACTCATCAAGATACATATTGAATCTTCCCTGTGTATTGCTAAGTGAGATAACACAAATATGGAGTCTATAGATTGTAAAGCCCCTTTGATATGATGTGCTAGCAAAAAGACAAAACTACAGACATGAAAAGCAGAGTGGTTGAAGGAGTGGTGGTCAGAAATCTTCAATGAAGGCTACTAGGCACTATGCATTTTATTAGAATGCATTTTTTAGGATGTGAAATACCAAAGGATGGAATACAGGCTGTGAGAGGATTATAACTGTACTGCACAGGTAAGGTAAACTCACTGGAGATGGTGGGCTGAAGGTACAAACCTTAATCCCTTGGAAATGAGTATAATGAGAGAGATCCCTTATTAAAGAGGCATGATTTTACATCATGACTAAGCAGGCTTCAGCCCAGAGATAGATGAGATAGCTCAACATATGTGTAACATATGTGTCTTACTTTTCTCATTGCTAAGACAAAATACCTGACACCCAAAGTTAACGAGGAAAGTTTTATTTTGACTCAAAGTTGGTAGAGGTTTCAGTCCATTATCTTCTGGCTCCAAGGCAGGGCAGCATATGAGAGAAGAAAGATTTCATGGTGTTGCAGGCAGGAAGCAATGAAGCAGCAGCAATGAGCTTTCCTTTCCCTTTTAGTCCACTCAGGATACAAGCCTATTGGCTGGTACCACCAACACCCATGGTGGGCCTTTCCATTATCCACACCCAAAACAATTTTAAGGTAAGCTCTCCCCAGCAGCTATGACCATAAGCAGGGAAGTGAGAATCAGGATACACAGGAGGCACCTGCTGCCACTGATAGAGGAGCTGGACTCCAGAGCTCACCCCCATTACAGCTATGACATCAGGTACTGTCACCATCTGCTAGGGGAAGCTGAGGTGTCCCCAGGATGAAAGACCTGGCTGCCAGATGCAGATGTCCAGCAAAAACTGACAATGTTTACATAGACTTAATGAACAGCAAGCACAGTTGAGAGAAAATATCTCTAGATGCCCTGGACCTGCAGCAGATGACCCCCAAACTGTGTGAAGGGGCAGAGTGTGCTGAGTGTTGGGCAGAAGTGTTCCCCAGTAGGCTTACTGTCCCAGCCAGTGAGATGGTCCTCAGTAAGTTCAAGATCACTTGCAGATCAAGGCAAAGCCACCAGCTTTCAACCAAGGCAAGCTTTGTCTCAATCCCCATGGTCTGACTTTCCAGCCTTCCCAATCTTTGCCCTCCCACCCACACACTCTCCTGCATGACCTCCTCAGAAAATCAAGAGGCTTTCAAACATTCTCCCTCCCTTCACCCACATGACATAGTCCTGGATCCCCTCTTTCCCTCCCTGTCTCTCAGCTAAGGCACCTTCTCTTGTCAGGTTTTCTGTACTGTGCACTTGTGCTTCAGAGTGGAGTATCTTTTCTAAACGTGAGGAGTCTGGCAGGTGTGGTGGTGCATGCTTGTAATCCCAGCACTTAGACAGCTAAGGTGGGAGGACTGCCAAGAGTTAGAGGCCAGTAGTGAGTTCAAGCTAGCACGAATTACTTAATGAGACTGTCTTTTAAAAAAATAGATTTGAAAGGGCCAGGGATGTAGCTTAATGACATCACACCTGCATGGCAAGCTCATGATTCCCAGTACCAGGAAAAAAAATTTTGAGGAGTCTCACCTTGACAGGTCCTTCCACTGGGAAGGGTTGGGAATGTGTGAGACAGTTCTCCACACTGGTTCACCATACCTGAGTTTGTTGGCCTTGTCGCAATTCTGTGACTTAACTAAGCCCTTGGTGATAATTCCATCACACAGCTGTTTTTCAAGGATGCTTATGTTTGCTTTCAGATTTCCTTCTAATACACACACAAATCTTTCACTATGCTACTATATTTCTCTACCCATTATCTTAGCTGCACTCCACAAATGTTATATATTCATCACTTAATGCAAAATGGTTTCTACATATGTCACCTTATTTAGGTGACTTGAAATGGTCTCATTAGGTAGTTCAAACTAATGGCAGTCTTCTTGCTTTAGCCTCCTGGGTTTACAACTGCATTGCCACCACACTCAGCTACTTTAGTGGGTCACTTAATTTCTAAACATTTTAAGATTTTCATTGTTAGTGACTTCTAATTTGATTCCACAATAAGATTTATAGACACTCTAGTCCTTGGAGACTTGCATTTAAAGCCCCAAATATGTTCTATCTTGGGGCTTTCTGTACACTACAAATGAATACTTAACCTGCAGTGTTTTTGAGTGTTTTATGGAGGTAAAATAGTTGCCCAACAGAGCAGTTAAAAATCTGTCAGTGAAATTCACATGCTTGTTCTCTCAACCGGCAGGCAAATCGCATTTTTCAACTGTGGATTAATTTCTTCCAACTTGTATTTTATGTACTTTGAAGCTACAGACATCTTTGCAGGTAGGACTGTTATGTTTGCCAGTTAGCTCACTCATTATTAAATATCCTTTATTATTTAGTGTACTTTCCTCCTTAAACTCTACTTTTCCAAAGTTAAGATAAACTTCCTTCTGGTTAGTTTTTACGGGTTAGTTTAGCTTTTCCTATTCTTTTAAATTTCATTGTCCTGAGGCATACTCACTGGTTAGCATTATAAAAAAGCAGTGATTATTTCCCCTAGGGATGGATAGCCATGATTGATATTCTAAATGGGAAATTTCTTGTATGTGACTTATTTTCCTATTTGATCCCCATTTAATCAGCACTACCTGGATGACTCTTGTTGATTGGTCATGGTTTTGTGCCACCTCATAATTTTCCACTGGGTTAGTTTTGTCCCACTTTGTACCTGCCTCACCCCATGGCTTTGCCATATAAAACACCTCTGAAAAGCAGGATGGGCAAGCAACCCATTTCCCAGACCCCCTTGTCTTAGAAGCTAGCTTTCAATAAAATATTCCTAGTCTTAAGAAAAATCTTCAACCTTCTTTTATTATCTTTGTAAACAGCATGTAACTTTTGTAACTTTATTGATTTTGTATCTTACATTTGGGATATATACACCACTTACATTTATTGTTGATCAGATGCCACCCTGCCCCACTTGACCTGAGGTGAGAATGGGTGCTTCTGAAGCCATACTGGGTAACCTAGATGTCCAAAGTGGGAAGGCTGCTTGAGTGAGAGTTTGTCAATGACAGCAACCATACCTTAAAAGGTCATTTAATATTGTGGAGACTGTCATGTGTAAGGGGGTTTGGGTAGATACTGGAGGCAAGAATGTAGTTATCACATTAATCTCTTCAGTGATGAGGACCTAAGCCAGCAAGACAGTGGTACAGACATCAAAGAAGTCCCATGTGGCCTGATTGCTGAGGCCAAGCCAGACCAGGAAAAGCCCAACTTTCAAGCCCAGTTGTGGTAGGTACACTGGCTCCCTGAGATGCTCCGGTTCGAACCTCTACAACCTATGGTAGCTGACATGCAAAGGTGAATTAAGGTTGCTAATCACATGACTGTAAAAAAGGTTGCCCCAGTTCATTTGAGTAGGTTCTAGTAATCACAACTGTCCTTCAAGAAAGTAAGAGGCAGTATTCGGAGAAAAGCAGTAATAGCTGAAGTGAGGTCAGAGATACTACATTATGAAAGGAAACTTAAGTCAAGGAGTGTAAGGCATCTCTGGAAGATGGACAGGGTAAAAGTCACCATAACACCCTGACTTTGGCCCAGTGAAGAGCAGCTGTTACAAAACATGATTTAGGGTTGAAGCCACTGAATTCCAGGTAATTTGTGATAGCAATGGCAAATTAACATATCATGTGATCAGAATTACACGTGACTAGTAACTGCTGGATTAGGAAAGTTACGATTTCAGGGAGTTTTACATTTGGAGCTGTAATTTAATCTAAAAGGGAACACAGCTTAGGGTTTTTTTTAATAAGCATCCTTCTAGGTCTTAACTAAAAGTAACAAAATCCACACCAGTGTTTTTTTAATGCTACTATATATAGGAATAATTCATGTAGAGTAGAATAAAAATTAACTGGTCACTGAATATACAATGGCATAAAGCCAGTAAATGTGGAGTGAAAGCATAACTTTTTGCTCCCTTTTGTTAGGCAAAAACATTGGATTCCAAGTTCATTAGTCTTAAGCAGAAATGAAAATGTACTAAGCTGATCACTGATGAGACAGACACTCTTCTACAGATGGCTACCAAGTAAAGTTCTAAAGAAATGGCAAATGGTTTAAAGAAAAAAGTGATTGAGTCAAGAATGATGTCCTAACCAAACTTGGCTAAAGTAACTAAACAAGACCCAGTGTCTCAATCCTATCTATACCTCTGAACCCTGACACTAAAGGTCTTACAATGTTGAAACAAGGCAGGCAAGAAAACGTAACTGGGACCAGACTTTAATATACTAGCGTGCACCAAAAAGATCCCAGAGTGTCAAGTATATGGTGTTTCCTTACTGCTCACTGAACCCAGGAGGGAAAAAAAACACAAAATATGCTCAATACATGAAAGCTAGTATGCTGAAAGTGGCAATGGCAAAGAAAAATGGAACTTGGAGTCATACATAGAAAATTACACAAGAGGAAAAAACACAAAATCTGACAGACATCAAAAGCCTTTTTAATTTGGTTTATACACATTTGACAAAGTATCTTAGAATAAAATAATCCATGAATAGGTACAAAGCATTTACAGTAACAGAACTGTGAAAAACAAAATTAATATATTTCTCAAACAGAAATGTCTATTTATAAAAATTTTTACTATGAATTTGGAAGACTTTCCACTCCTATCCATTACTCTGGTCTTAAACCCCAAAGGAGGTACAAAGGGCCCAGGAGTAGGACAGACAAACTAACACATTTGGCAATTAGGATCATCTGTGGTGTGAGCTGGCAGGGAAGTGAAGGGCAGGACACCAAATGGAAGACTCCACTGGAAATGACTAAGAACAAGGGCCCCATCACACTAACTCTCCTCTCAGCCTCCAGCAAGAGACTGCAAACTACTTTCAGGACTTAATTTTCCCTGTTAGCAGAAAATCAGTGACCCTGAGACTCCCAACTTTCCATGACACAAAAGCAAAATAACATCTATAAACTATTCAAGATTTATAAGCTGATTTTACATGGTAAAAAAGAAAATAACTCTTATGATTTGAAAATGTTTAAGGAAAGGCAACAAAATTTTTCTCAAGCTTATTTTCATGCCAAATTTTTAAACATTCCATTTTTTCAATGCTGGTATCAAACCCAGGGACTTCACACATGGTAGGTAAGTGCTTTACCAAGGAAGGCTATATGTCCAGCCCACTTAGTAATTTCTATTGTCTGAAATCAGCTACACATACATTCATACACACACACACACACACATTTAGGTGTTTAGAAGTTGTTTGTTAAATTGTTTATTAAATGGTATACCTACCCCTTTGTAATTCTACTCAAATACACTTAAAAGAAATGAGAAGTTTTGTCCATCTGGAATATACATTAAAGTTTTATTGATTTATAAGACAGTCACATTAACAGAGACCATGAAAAAATAACCAAATGCTTATGCTTTGTAACAAACATGGTACACCATACACATTACCATCTACTGATCCAACCAACCTACATAACAAACTATCAGCTCAGCAAACAATGCCATAGAGCAGTATTCAGTATATTTGAAAATCAAATCTGCTGCTCCTCCAGGGGTGACTCAAAAGCTTCCATCAGCTTTTTATTTGCCTCTTCATTATGCCGGCTTTGACAATGAGTTAAATGTTTCTTGAAGCCTCTTGGGAAATTTGACTCAAAATTACAGCGTGGACATTTGAGTAAACTTTGCCCATGGGCTGCTACATGATTTTTAAGGAGAGATTCTAAAAGAAACGCCTTTCCACAAATTGTGCACTTGTAAGGGCTGTGGACATTATGTTTATTAACCAAATGATGCAAAACAGCACCTTTTTTCATAGCACGACAGCAACAAATTTTGCAATAATACTTTCCTTTTCCACGCTTCATATATTTTGCAATCTCCTCTTCAGAGATAAATGCTTCTTTTTCTTCAGTGAACTGTAGCACATGTTTGGACTGCTCTGGACTGCTCATATCCATTTTGTTTTCTTTGCCAAAATCAATAGATTCTACATCTACCTGCTCTTGGTCACTGCTTGATTCTTGGCCCTTAATATCTATGGCATCCAAATCTGTTCTGATGTACTCACTGCTGCTTAGCTCGGCATCTGAGTGCTCCTGGCTGTCCTTCTTGAGTTTCTTGGAGGAAGGAAACAAGGCATCTTCTAAAAGCTTCTTCGGTGTCGCCAGAAGCTCTTCTTGAACCAAAATATCACACTTTGGGTCACCTATGGCCTCTATCTGTAGCTCATCACCAAGCTCAGCTGTCTTTTGAGACTCTGAGAACACAGCAGATTTGGGGAACTCAGAAAAAAGAGGATGTTTCCGAGGCTCTGGGAAAAGCACACGTTTCCGTGGCTCAGGAGAAGAAGGATGGGCAGTTTTGGTGGGCTCAGGATACAGCATGGATTTTCTAGGCTCAGCATCAATGGAGGAAACAGGTTTCCAGATATCCGAGGCCGCTTTGGGAGACTCTGATAGACCTGATTTCCGGGTCTCAGGGAAGACAGTAGGTTTCTGAGATTCTATGATGAAGGAAGACTTCCAGAGATCAGGAGAACCACCACGGGAACTTTTCTGAGACTCAGAAAAATCCAGGGAGGCAGGAGTTTTCCGCTGATCAGGAGAAAGCTTCCAAAGGTCTGGTGATCCTGAGGGCTTCCTGAGCTCTGGAGAGCCTGCTGGGCTGCGGAGCTCTGGAGAGAGTGGTGGGCCTGGTTTGCGAACCTCAGGGGATACTGGGGGAACGGCTTTCCAATGTTCCGGTGACAGCGTAGGAGTTGTCTTTCGAAGCTCAGGTGGGCCAGACTTCCATGACTCTGGAGATGTAGGTGGAGTTTTCCAGGAACCTGGTGAGACCGAAGATGACTTCCAGGATGCAGGGGATACAGATGAAGTTGGTTTCCAAGGTCCAGGTGATAGAGAAGGAATTGGCTTCCAGGGTCCAGGAGACACAGATGGAGCAGGTTTAGTTGGCTTCCAAGGACCTGATGATGCAGAAGGACTTGATTTCCAAGGCCTTGGGGATCCAGGTGGGCCTGGCTTCCAGGAACCTGGCGACACAGCTGGGGCTGGTCTCCGGGGCTCTGGGGAGACAGCAGGGAAAGGCTTCCAAGGTTCAGGAGACTCTGATGGGGATGGTTTCCTTGGCTCAGGGGAGGCAGTCTGGGCTGGCTTCCGAGATTCTGGAGATGCAGTTGGGGATGGCCCCCAAGGCTCAGGGGAAGCAGACAGAACTGGTGACTCTGGAGAAGAGGCTGAAGGTGCCCCTCCTGTCTCTGTGAAATGAGAGTGTTTCTGAGGCTTGGGGTTAGAAAGACCAGATTTCACTGGTTCAGGAGACACGGGGGCAGGTTTCTGTGGCTCTGGAGAAGAAACATGCTTCTGTGATTCAGAAGCAGCAGGGACTGGTTTTGGAAGTTCAGGAGAAGACACAAGAGCAGGTTTCAAAGGCTCAAGAGGAAGAGGTACCTGGGGCTCAGGAGAAACAACAGGGCCAGTTTTCTGAAGTTCCAGAGGAGTAACAGGAGCAGATGTTAGAGACTCTGGAGAGAGAACTGGACTAAGCTTTTGAATTTCTGCAGAGAGAAGAGGTACAGGTTTCAGCTCTGCTGAGTTACAAGGTGTTTTCTGGTATTCAGGAACAGAAGGACTGTTCATAGGATCCATTTCTTTGTTCAACTGGTTTTTTGGTTTATCGTTCCACTTCTCTGGGGCCGCATGTTTGGATGTAATATGATAGTACACATTGGAGTACATCTTGCTGGTAAAAAAACATTTATGGCAGTGAAAAAGCTTTGCACTTTTCTGGTAAAATATCATTTTACCTAAGCCCCCAGCATCCATCTCATCACAAAGCTCTGGATGGACGGTGCCCATATGAATCTGAACATTTTCATAATCTGTGCCTCTGAAACTGCAGTGGTCACACTCCAAATGTGCAGATGGCCGGCGCAGCTCCTGGAACACTTCCATCTCCCTTCTGTCTCAACACACACAGCTGTGCTCCTTAAACAATGGAGAGGGAGAAAAATAAAAACCAACAACAGGAAAATAACATGATAATGATAAGTCAATACATATGAGTTATAACCATCAATGTCAATGGCCTTAATTCACCAATCAAAAGAAACAGACTGGCAGAATGTATAAAGAAGCAAAATCCAACAATATGCTATAATAAATCCTCAGTAGCATGGGAACTAGCACAAAGAATCAACCGTGGAATCTCATCTTTTTTTTTTTTTTTTTGGTACCGGGAATTGAAATCAGGTCCTTGTGCTTGTGAGGCAGGTGGCAGAACCACTGAGCTAAATTCCCAGCTCGGAACCTCATCTTTGTAAAAAAATTTCTGCACTGCCAGAGAAATCACAAACAAAGCTAAGAGACAACCAGCTGCTCCTCAAAGGTCTACTATCTAGAATATATATAAAACTTAAAAAAAAAAATCAGACCCCCCCCCAAATATAAAGACCAACTCAAAAATGGGCATCTAGCAGATGAAAACAACACTGAGATTCCACCTCACCCCACAAAGAATGTCTGCTATCAAGAAATCAAACAATAACAAATGTTGGCCGGGTTGTGGGGAGAAAGGGACCCTTCTCCATTGTTGGGAGTGCAGACTGGTGCAACCACTATGGAAATCAATATGGAGATACCTCAAAGACCTGGGACTAGAGGTTCCATTTGACCTAGCCATCCCTCTGCTGGGTATCTTTCCAAAAGAGTTAAAAGAATCATATCACAGTGATATACATGCACCTATGTTTATAGCGGCACAGTTTGTAATAGCTAAAACTTGGAAACAGCCCATTTGCCCATCAGTTGGAAACTGGATAAAGAAGATATGGTTTTTCTATAAAATGGAATACTACCCAGCCATAAAGAATGAGAAATTAGATTCATTCATAGGAAAATGGATACATAATGAGGATATATTCCTAACTGAAAAGTGAAATAAATAAGTCACACATGAGTAAATACTGAATAGTTTCTCTGGTGTGAAAAACTATAATAGTACATAAGATCCTAAAGAGATAATTGACAATGTGAAATAGGAAGAAAAAGGCTAAAGGTGTAGGGAACGTGGAAAGGGTAGGGGAAAGGTAATAAGGGAAAAGAAAAAAATATGAAAAAATGGAAATAAACTATTTGTAAATGGGAGGGGAGGAGGGGGCGAAGGGAGGGTAGGGATAAGAAGAAAAAATGAGAACCAAGACCTGTCATGTAAAGGTATAAGATCCCAATAATAAATGTAACTACTGTATACCTAAAATGTACCAATAAACTCAACGAAAAAAAAATGGGCATCTGAAATGAACAGACATTTCTCAAAGAAGTAAAAACAGCAAATAAACATATGAAAAAATGTTCAATATCACTGGTCATTCGAGAGATGCAGATGAAAAGAATACTGAGATTCCATCTCACCTCAGAAAGAGTGGCTGCTATCAAGAAATCAATCGATAACAAATGCTGGTGGGGTTGTGGGGAGAAAGGAACCCTTCTTCATTGTTGGTGGGATTGTAGACTGGTGCAACCACTGTGGAAATCAATATGAAGATAACTCAAACAACTAGGATTAGAAGTCCCATTTGACCCAGGTTTTTCTCTGCTGGGTATGTTCCCAAAAGAGTTAAAAGAATCACACCACAGCGATACATGCTCACCCATATTTATAACGGCATATTTTATTTTCATTTCCCAACAAAGAAACAGTGACTTCACTTCTCTGGTCCAGATTTTAAGAGTATCAGTGACAAGCCTGATCCCAGAATTACCTACTGTATAGCTTTACACTTTGATTTCTAAAACCTTCAATCAACAAATCATCAGCACACAATGATAAACATCAAAATGAAATCTAGGTTATTTAAGGCAGGACAAAAAAACTAAATCATTTCCAGAAAGCACTTAGTAATTAAATCTAGCTATGGAAAGATAAACTCCTTTAACCTGATTCTGGCTTGATTTAATGTCAACATATCTTGTACTGTTTTATCTACTCTAATATTGAGTATTTAATTCATTTATCCTATAGTTGAACTGCTTTGTGTGCTGTGCTATTCTAGGCACTTGGGTTTAGCATGGCACCTTGCCATACCGTGCTTACAAGGCCAGGTAAGTTAAGAGTGTGGAGAGCAAATGGAGTGCAGCTATCAGAAAGTAACCTCAGAACAAGATCCCCATTAGAACTCACAAATGATGTGGTAGAATGCTCCAAGCAAGTGGTGTTCAGAAAGAATGATGCTGAAGACTGCAGCATTACCACCAGAAAAGATGACTTTTTAAAAGTTTAAACAAGTCTTCTTTTAAACCAGAGGTCAAAGTAATAGAGGCTTGTAATTAAGAACAGACTCAATACTCACAGTATTACTCCATGAAGTACCCACTGCACTGTGTTGCTAAAGAAATATTCTCAGTACATACAAATTCATGCACACTTTACAGAAATCAGGTCATAGTAAACATTATTTGGCAATGTTTTAAGAACTTAACTAGGATATTTTTACAAATAGAGTAAGCATGGAGTTCCCTTGTAACTTTATATGTGAGAATATTTCTGCAAGGTCGGTTTCTAGAAGTGGATGACAGGGGTCAAGGCTACTTGCATTTGAAAATTATTACACTTTGCCAAACTCTCAAAATGATATAGTACTATTACTAGCAAAACAGTGTAAGTATGAAGGATAACTCTCCAACTCTCATCAAAAATGAGAAAAATTCCAAATCTTTGTTATTACTTAATGTTTAATGTACTTTTTCTTTCATGAAAAGATCTAAGTTTCCCCTTACTGGCCCCAAGTCTCTCTTTTTTGTGTTTTGGTACCCGGCATCAAACTCAGGACCTTGTGCTTACCAGGCAGGTGTGGTGCCACTGAGCTAATTTGCCGGTCCCCAGGTCTCTCTCTCTCTTTTTTTTTTTAAGGAAGTGCTGGTTTTCTTTGTTCATTTTTCTCATTGATTTGTAAATTTTTGTAAATTTTATATAAGAAATTAGTCCTTTTATTGAAATTATTTCCCCAGTATATCGTCTCTTTATAGCTTTTATAAAAAATATCCACAATTATTTATATAAAAATTTAAAACTCATGGGGCTGGGGATTTAGCTCAGTGGTTCTGGTGCCTGCCTCGCAAGCACGAGGACCCAAGTTCGATCCCCAGTACAAAAAAAAAAAAATTTTAAACTTATGACTGTTTTCCTTGTAACTAACACTAGTTTTTAAATTATGCTTCTTACTTTATTTTTTAAAACTTAATAAGTTTCTCCTAATTTTTTTTTAACATTGTGTATTTGTGTGTGTGTGTGCACGTGTGCCCATATGTGTGGTGCTGGAACTTAAATCCAGGGCCCCATGAATGCAAGCAAGTGTTCTACCACTGAGCTAGCCTCCCAACCCATTCCAATTGAATCTTTAATCCATTTTGTATAAGGAGGTAGGAATGCAGCCAAATTTTTCACCCCAAATTAGTATGTCAAGAACATAGATTATACAACCCTTTTCTTCACCTGTGTAATATCCTATTTAATATTTACTAAATTTTATGTACTATTCTATCTTGGACTCTACTCTTCTCTATTTATCATTGCTTCAATCTTCCGTTTTGGTATTCTATTTTCGGCATGAGGTCCAGCAAGTGATAAACAGATTCTGCAATTAACATACACAATGAGTCTATTCACCAAATGTGTCACAAAATCCTTCCTCATTAATACCCAAGCACAGTAGTGGTCAGCTACGTAGGCCCAGCTACGCAGAAGGCTGAGGCATGATGATCATTTCAGCCCAGAATTCAAGGCCAGCCTGGGCAACACAGCAAGACCCTGTGTCTAAAAATAAAAATAAATAAATAAATATCTTTTCTCATTAAAAGATGTGCCAACCAGATGCAAAAGGTAACAACAGTAACCTCAACCACCATGGAGACAGAGGCAGGAGAACTGTAAATTCATGGCTAGAGATCCTGTCTCAAAATAAAGTACAAAGGGCCAGGGATGTAGCTCAGTTGTAAAGTATTTACCTGGTATGTGGAAGGCCCTGGGTTTAATCCCCAGTACCATAAAATCAATAAAGAACATTCCATCATTTACCAAGAGTACCAGTTGCTGCTCCGAGTACACAAATGCTCTGCTTTCTGCTTCTCATAAAGGTCCATTCTTTCCATGGGATTGATCCTCAGAAAATAGCACAGAGCAAAACACAACAAGGCCACCATTTACTAACTTCAAAAACACTAATTAGGAAAATATCAGTAACATTTCTAGTTCTGACAACTTGGTTTTTTTTTGTTTGTTTGTTTTTTGTACTAGGGATTGAACTCAGGACCTTGCACTTGCCGGGAAGTTATGTTTTTAAAGGTGTTATTACTGACAGTGCTGATTTCCATTACCTGTATCAGTGGTGTCTTGTTTGTTTTGGTTTTGTTGTTGTTCTAAGGAAAAAAAGGAGACAGTACAGAAAACAAATACTTTTATTCAGGAAATATTATTCCTGAATTACACAGCAATTGTGTTGTCTTTTAGAAAATTCTAAAGCTAAAAAGACTGTAACAGAAAAAATATATATAGTAATTTAGCACTAGAGTAGTCTCTAGAAATGATCTTTAACTTACCAACATGAAGAAAAAAAAATAGTAAAAAGTAATAGTTTACTTCAGAACCCAGTGTTCATCCAGTGAAACTAGATAACTTCAGAGGATCCATCAATAATCTCATCTGTCCATAGTGGCTGTAGTAAACAGCCAAGGGCCACTCACAGTAAAGAGGCATCATATTATGTATCAGGTGAGCATCATTCCAGAGGTAAGAGTCTACCCTGCCCTTCCCTCATCCTCTACTACCACCAACTCCTCTGGCCAACTCCAAAGTGCCACCACCCACACCTGCCTACCACCAAGTCTCATCATTGTACTTGAAGAACCTCTTTGATAAAAAGTTCTTCAAGTTGGGCATGGTGGTGCATGCCTGTGATCCCAGCACCTAGGAGGCTGAGGCAGGAGGATCACTGTGAGTTCGAGACCAGCCTGGGCTACATAGTGAGTTCCAGGTCATTCTCAACTACACAGTGAGACCCTATCTCAAAAAAAAAAAAAAAAAAAAAAAAAAAAAATTCTTCAAACAACACTACAGAATACACTATTCATATCCCAAATAGTACCACAGATATGTATATCTAGCATATCGTCACACACTCTAGATGTGTGCAAATCTACCAGACATGTATTTACCACATCATGACACACTGCTAGAAATACATACTTTTTAAATTTTTCCTGAAGAACACTAGGCACTTTTCAAAAATTCTTTAATCATAAAATATTTTCTTTAACATTAAAAAATACAAAGTATTAAAAGCAAACGAATAGCATATCCATAGAAATACTAATGCAAAAACCCTATAAATTCTGAACAAATCCTTTCAGAGTGGAGAAGAAACAAACCACAAGGTACTTTCTCCTGCTAGACTTACCAGCTGTCTTATGGGACACTTTAAAAGTGGTCTTCAAAGAGCAGGTAGTCTACATGGCCTTTTGACTACAGCACAGAAAACAGCCTACAATAGGACAGAAATGAGAAGATGAACCTGAAAAAACAAAAGAAAGGTAATCAAAATTACATTTCTGTGATAATCTTGACCACTATAATAGAGCTCTGTGCCTTTCCCTCCCCATGGGGACCCCTCCAATGGTGAGAGTCAAATCCAATAAGCCAGTGCACATACTTCACAGAAATAGCAACAATGCCTACAGTAGATACCATCCATGTCTAATTTCACATCATACTAAACTATGGAATTATGCACATGCACATAACTAGACCCTTCTCAAACTCACCATCTTACTTCAGCTTGTGTAGTTTTAGGGTACAGTGACACACATTTCTACCTTTCTGATGAACACTCAGACAACTGCCAGTGCAACTACAGATATTAACAGCAGCTGATATTTTGTTCGTTATTGATACTACTGACATGCAATAGGGGAAGGAACAATACAATCAAGAGGACATAGGCAAAAAAGAAGAGAATTGTGACAAGTGGTGGGATGGTGATGTTCCCAACCAGGGGAGAAATGGATGGACCTGCTCAAGTGAATGTTCTAGCTTCTCTTTCTGCATGTGTTCCAAAGAGACAGCACCACGGTTTAAGTAAATTTGTTAGTAAGAATTGAACGAAATAAACTGGTCCTGTATAGATATCTGCTGCTAGTACACTTCTGATGAGCTCCAGCACATCCACTACCCTTCCTCTATTCCCTATACCTTGGCACTGCTTCAATTCTACACCTCACCTCTATTCCTACTAACTCATTCACCACGCTGCTATAAAAACTAAAAACCTAAAGCATCTTGCCTGTTCATAACTTCTCAAAGTCTCCCAGATACTTTCATATAAAACTTTAGCATGGCACATAAAGTTCTTCATGATCTATCTCCTGACCAGACCAGTCAGAGTAACTCTCTGACTCTTC